TTTCCTAACTCCTTCCTTTCTTTTTCTCTTCTCTCCCTTTTCCTAACTCCTTCCTTTCTTTTTCTCTTCTCTCCCTTTTCCTAACTCCTTCCTTTCTTTTTTTCTCTTCTCTTCTCTTTTTTCCTAACTCCTTCCTTTCTTTTTTTCTCCTCTCCTCTCCTCTCTTCTCTCCTCCACTCCTTTCCCTCCCCTCCCATTGTCTCATCTTCCTTTTCTTCTCCCCTTTTCTCTTCTCTCCCTTTTCTTAACTCCTTCTTTTCTTTTTCTCCTCTTCTCTCCCTTTTCTTCTCTTAACTCCTTCCTTTCTTTTCTGTCTTCTCTTCTCTCCCTTTTCTTAACTTCTTTCTTCCTTTTTTTCTCCTCTCTTCTCTCCTCTCCTCCACCCTCTCCCTCCCCTCCCATTGTCTCTTCTCCCTTTTCTTCTCTCTTTTTCACTTCTCTCCCTTTTCTTCTCTTAACTTCTTCCTTTCTTTTTCTCTCTTCTTTTCTCTTCTCTCCTCTCTTCCATTCCCTTCCCCTTCTCTCATCTCCTCTCCATTTTCTTCTCTTAATTTCTCCCTTATTTTTACTCTTCTTCTCTTCCCTCCTCTCCTCTCCGTTTTCTTAACTTCTTCCTTTCTCCTCTCCCCTCTCATACCTTCTCTTAACTTCTTCCTTTATGTTTCTCTCTTCTGTTCTTTTCTATTCTCTCCTCTCCCCTCCTCTCCTACCCATATCTCTACCTGTACCTCTCCTTCTTTCTCTTGTTTCCTTCCTTCTTCCTTTCTCCCCTCTTTCCTTCTCTTTTTACTTCCTTCCTTCTCTCCCCTCCTACTCTCTTCTCCTCTCCTTCCTTTCTTCTTTTCTTCCTTCTTCATTTCTTTCTCTTCTCTCTACTTTCTTTTGTTTCCTTCCTTCTCTCCTTCCTCCTTCCTTTCCTTCTCTCTTTCCTTCTTCCTCTTCCTCTCCTCTCCTACTCTCTTCTCCTCTCCTCTTTTTTCTTCCGTCTTTCCTTTCCTTCCTTCTCCTTCCTTATTTCTTTCTCTTCTTCTCTCTTTCTTTCCTTCCTTCCTTCTACCTCTCCATAGAATACCAGCCTCATCAACCAGAAGAAGAAGATGGAGTCTGACCTCTCCCAGCTGCAGACAGAGGTGGAAGATGCCATTCAGGAATGCAGAAATGCTGAAGAGAAGGCAAAGAAAGCCATCACAGACGTGAGTGACATTTTCTTTAGCACACCTACTTTTACAAGAAAGCAGTAATTCAAATGAGGGGCTATTTAGAAAGCATTGGGCACTATCTAATAAAATGAAATTCAAGGGTGGAAAGAGTAAGGTTCTACATTATGCAAGAAAAACGAAATGCACAGGTACAGTATAGGTGGTACCTTGCTCAATTGTAGTAACTGTGAGAGGGATCTTGGAGTCCTAGTGGACAACCATTTAAATAGGAGCCAGCCTTGTGCAGCAGCTGCCAAAAAAGCCAACACAGTTCTAGCCTGCATCAACAGAGGGGGAGAATCAAGATCACGTGAAGGGTTAATACCACTTTATAATGCCTTGGTAAGGCCACACTTGGAATACGTATACGTAT